AAAAACAAAACTCAGCCCCCCCCCCCCCCCCCCCCCCGAATATTAAGTACTAAAATACTCGAGTCAGAAGATTATTGCAATTTGTGTCCTTTCTTTTGCACATACTAAATTTATTACTTAGAATTTTCCTTCCCTGCCAAATAAGAAACAGCAGATCATCTTGTAATCACCTTGTTGCATTTAAATAATGTGCCAATTTGTGGAACATATGAGACACAAGTTTTAGTAATCTGGAATATTGGTATAAAGGATCTTCAAATAAAATCAACTGGGGGAATGCCATTGCTGTGCTTTAGAAAACTAAAACCAGTAGTGCTTACTGTCGATCTACCTAAATAATACTGTAAGAACAGAAAATGATAAAGACAGAACACTTAAATGTGATTTTCATTGATAATTACCATAGTTTAATATTTTAAACAATAAAAAGGTTTGCATCACTTGATGATGTAAGTGTTAACACAAGTTTGTACAATACCATACAGTATCTGCTAAATAAGCAAGTTTGGCAGCTTAGCAAAAATATGATTGCAACATCCATGATTTGAATTCAAACAAACAGCGACTTGTTCTTCTGCGAAGAGTTGGTAAATCAAAGTAGCACGCTTCAGGGTTCTGGACAGTGTCTGATGCCAGTGAGTTTGAAGGACATATTTTTAGTGTGTGGCCCCGTGCAGAACTGCCCAAATCAAACAATTGTCTCCTTTGAGTTCCTCTTGATGGACTGCAGGCCCAGTAGGGACTGCTGGTTGGAGAGAATGTTGGCAGAATTTGGTAGCAGGAGTATCACTCGCTGATTGTTCCGACGCCATTCGCTGTACAACTTACAGTGATACCTAAAGGATACCTGAGGAGAGAACAGAGATACATTGTGTTTAGAGTCAGAGCAGTCCTCCAAGGCATCACTTGGGTTTTGGGGGAAATGCCTTCAAGTGGAACAAAAAGCAGCCTAATTGGGTGGGATAAAATGAACAAAAAGTAGTAGGCAAAGATGAGACCTACCAGGTAGATCCCCAAGTTGCTACAGCAGAGAAGAAAAGCTGTCTGTGCCCTGTTTTTTATTGTTGCCTACCTCTTGTTCCTTTATAACATGAAAAATCGGACATCCTGCCTCTGTCTTTCCGAAGAACTAGAATTACTGGCAGCTACTTGCGATGAGAATGAGTTTAGGATACTATAATGCTGCAAATTGTTAAACTGACAATGTAATTGGCTGGATGGTGAAGGCTTGCTGGTAGCTAAGCTGTGTGCAAAGACTGACAGGGTCATATTATAGGTTCTACCCTGTAATGCTTTATTGCTAGATTCATCACATTAAGACTGCACAGATGCAACAAGGTGAGTGTGAGCCATCTGCCAACACATGTGTATCTCAATTTAGATTGTCTTTGATTTTTTTTTTTCCCTTTTATTGTTATTGGCTAACCAATTTCAACCTTAATATAATTCTGCTAGTAGTGGAGGAGAAATGACTGATACAAGATATCTTGGCCCTATATATACATATTTTTTTTTTAATAGCTTACTGCTTATTTTAGTGACAGCCAAGTGTAGTGAGAATTATATGTAAGATGTGCAGTTTAAAAAAAAACCAAACAAATGACAAAACCCTGTAAACTGCCTTGGGACCTTTTAGGTGAAATGTGCCATGTGACAATTACTGTGTTCTTAGCTGTGGGCAGGAGGGACCCATGCAGTGAGCACTAGGAGGAACCCTGTCTTGTTAGCTGTTCTGTCTTCATATGCAGCTGGTCATTTGTCACTGATTTTTATGCACCTGAGCCACTTCTGTGGGTCTGTGCTATGCAGAGGGTGCCATGAAGGCTGGAGGTAACATGCTTGGTTTGCACAGGTGGGTGGAAGATGCTGCTGACTGTTTGCAGAGAAGTGGCTCTGTGTTCTGCTTGCTTTCCTACCCCTACAGCAGTGACAGGATGGATGCTAGTGAGGTATAGAGGGAGATTACACATGCCTATTATTTTATCCTTCAAAACTCTTTCCTTCTAGCAAAAAGGTGGTTTTAACTAAATTATTTACCTTTCTATAAAATCCTACCAGGGACAAAAAAAAAGACTTGTTGTTATTAGATCTTTATATGGCTGTCTGCTGTTAATGAGGGAAACTTATAGAGCTTTCGTTGACTACACAGTTGCCCAAAGACAGCTCTTCCAACAGATTAATTGATTCCCCATCTTTCAATCTCCTCTGCTGTCCAGGACAGCAGGAAGGCAAAGCAGTCTGTATCTTCATTTCTGTGGAACATCATATATGAACGAACATGAGAAATCTCTCTATAATACCATGGGGGGCAAGGGGAAGGTGGGGACAGATGCCAGAATGGACAAACACCTGCAAAGTTGAATGCCATGCAAAATACAGTGACTGCTTCAGAGGAGTGAGCCAGAGTTTAGGTTGAGTTTTCAAGCAGCATCACATATGTTCTTTGAGGAAGGGCTGCATTGTTAAGCCATGCTTTAACTGCTCATTTGTTTAAGGCATTTTCACAGAATAACCTAGTTAAGTTTGACAGCTTGTTTACAATGGGTTCTTGCCTGGAGGCAGTTTCCAAGTGATGTCAGCTACTGAATTTCAGCAGAGCCAATGTTACTCACTCTAAGCTGTTACATTCGGTGCATAACTTAGGATGCTGAGCAAAAGCCAGTTTTACATTGGTCCTTAGCACACTGATATTTGTTCACCTTTTAACAGGATAGCAAGCAGGGTCTTTCTGACTTACTCTGAATTAATTCAGGCCAGCCTGTTTTAAACCAGCAGTTATGTTACACTGGAAGCTATAGGCCCAAATCCTGTTGTACTGCAACGTGCTACTTGATTTTTGGAGGAGTCAAGATTATCTGTGAGCAAGAGAAACCAGATAGTGGCCCTGAATTCTCAGTTTAAATAGCAATCTCTGTTTCATGTCTGAAGCTTTTTTTTGGGAGTGGGCTGGGTTTTTGGGGTGTGTGTGTATCAGGTACAGTGATTAAATGCAAAGAAAAAGCAGCAGCATTGTATGGAGAGCTTGGCTATTTAAGGGGAAGGGATAAAATAGCTTATTGGATGCTAAAAATAGAATCTCTCCCATTCACTGCTCATCGGGATAATTATGGTATGTAAATAATCTATATGCCAACTTTTGCCTCATGTTCTGTGTAATTTGCCCCACAGCTCACAATACATTCCCTCCACAGCCATAACTAAGCAAGCAGTACAGGATTCTGCTATTTCCAAAACTTAAAGGGCAGGTGCTGCTGAAGCACTTGATGGGGCTAGCACTTCTGCATGTGGGTCCATTCCTTGCTGTGTGGCAAGGGGAGGCAATGCCTCCCCAGTGCAAACACAGGTTGGGGGTTTCCTGTGTTGATTGGTGGATCTCGGCTGCTGAGCAGAGTGGACAAGTCTTCCCCATGTAAGGGAAGTTAAGTAGTTGCTTTCAATCTCTACCTTGATTTTGCAAATCTGCCCTCAGAATGTGTGTAAACACTGTCACTCAAACCTGTTGACTTAATCTGAAGATATACTTAAACCTGCTCCAAACTCTCCTGAGTACTAATGCTGTGAGGGCAATGAGGGCACCTTCTTACTGTGAAGAGAGCCTGAGGTCCATCCCAATCTGCCCACTGAATTAACCCCGTGCTGACACATGTCACGTGTAATTAAATCCAACTATGTAGCCAGGCTCCCTTTTCTAATTTCCAACCATTCTGGTGCTTGTGAATTATGTATATTAGATACATTGGACAGCATTTGAGTTTCTAAGACAGTCATACACAAAGGAGATTTGAACAAGCTTTGCTGGAATACCTGACTGACAGTACTGCAGGAAATACAAGTGGCACTTCACTACTGAAGTAAATGGCTGTCCTGTTGGAGGGGCATGCTGCTGGTGCTGCTTCACAGAAAATGGAAACAGAAAGACCACAAACAGAAACTGCAGGAAGCTGAGGCAAAACTCAGCTTTCCCTGCTGTTGTGTGCTGCTAAAATTAGCCTGCAGTCCTCTATGGATGAGACAGGGTGTCACTGTTACAAATGAAGTAGCTGAGATGTTACCTTTCCTAGCTTTCTTGGAACTAGCTATATGTAACTGTGGAGTTTCTGGGGTTTTACCACCACCACCTCTCCTTTTGCAGGCTTACTCTGGGCTCAGCGCAGGGCTTTCTTAGTGTGCTCTAGCTCTATTAGTGTCACCTTCTCAGCAGCTTACACTGTTGAAAACCCGCTGGATAAAGTCAGCTGTACAGCATGTGGCCATACACGGTGCACATGAGAGCTTGGTGCTAGCCCTGCAGGATCAGTGGCTGTGCTGGCACCGTGGGCAGGGTGGTCTTCCTCCGATCAGGGCGGCACAGGCTCCGGTGAGTTTTTCCTCTCACAGCAGCACAGCCTCGCACCATCGCCCAAGCATTTCCCTGTTAGTGTGAAAGCTCCCTGTCTGCATCTGCTGTTATGTTCTCCTCCTCCCGTGAGAGCTAGAGTTGTAGAATGTCAAACTCAACAGTAACCTGGGGTTTTCAGTGAACTGCTAGACCACAGCTTGATAAACACTTGTTTTGGCAGCTGTCCTCTGGGTTTGCTTCATTAATGCTGGGCCAAGTGTTCCTTGGTGCACTGGGGCCAGGAACTGATCTCAGTTTAACAATTTGACACAAACCAAGTGGCTTTTAGGATGAATCAGCACACAAGTGACAGCTGCAAAGGCAACTGTATTTCTACAGACCTGGAAGTAAGGTGTGCTCTGCTGTGGACTTCCCATAGCACCACAAGCACAAGTAACGAGGAAAGCATGGGATGCACCACATGCAAGGCTTTTGAATTTTAAAATTGGCCAAATGTTGGATTAGAATGAAATCTGAATCCTCTGTAGCTTCCATGTTGTTCACCTAAAGCTCTTTTGTGCACTGTGCCTTCACCCGTACACGTTATCTTTGATGTAACTGCCCCCCCCATAGCATGTGTCTTGGAACTCCATGTTGACTCCCTCTTGCTAGCTCTTCTCGTGTTTGGCATTTGGGAATGACTGACCCCAAATCGAACTCTCTTTCTGGTTTTCCAGAGAACTTGAGTAGTGTGAAACCCAGAGGTTTCTTGCAGATGTAAATTATATTTATCAGTACAGAAGGCAAATATAAGCAAAGCTTTGTACAATGGTGCACCTGCTCTACAGCACTCCATCATTAATTTTCTGATTTGTTCTTTCCCTTATTCCTATGAGTTAAAGAGAAAATCAATACTTACTAGGGTCCAAAATAGGTAAATAGTGAAGAGTGCGACAGTAAGCGCAATGAGGCCAACAGCTTCTAGCCTACTACTAAAGTGCAGATGGTTCACTGCTCCTCGCAGACACAACCAGCCAGAGATGGTCGCCAGTGGAGTGATAAAAAAGAAGCACAGCAGGTCTCCAAAGAGAGTCCGTTTCTCATGCTGGGGGCCTGGGTTCCTCAGCCACTGCAGGCAAAATGCAGACAAAGCAAGTGTCAGCACAGAGACGATGTTTTACCAGAGTCAAGCAGCTTGCTTGCAAAATGCAGACCTGTCCCTTTGAGAAGGGAACACAGACCACATGTAGGACATGGCTTTGGCTGTCCCTAGAAAGGTCCTACTGAACTTCCCCGCCTCTCTGCCTGCTGATGTGCACCTCTAGCCATGTATACCTACTACATTGTTTATTCAACTGTAGTAAAAGCTGCCTCAAGAAGGGGAAGTGTTTTGCATAGTGCAGCCCCTGGTATTTGTCTGCTCGACTGAGGAACTCTCTTAATGTGGAAGGAATCACGCTCTTCTCAAGAAGAGTGCAGAAAGTGTTTGTTAATGTTTGGCATGGTATTTTAAGTTGGGTTTTGTTTGTTTTTTTGTTTTGGTTTTTTTTTTTACATTCTGCTTGTAATACCAGCAAGGCCATTTTCAACTTGCTTTCAGATACGTGCAAGCAGAGTTGAATGCACACAAGTTTACTTTTATTAAGAGCATAATCTTGCATGGAGACCTTATAGGAACCAGGATCTGAAGAGGGCCTACAAGGATGCTGGAGAGGGATTCTTCAGCAGGGACAGTAGCGATAGGACCAAGGGGTAATGGGTTCAAACTTAAACAGGGGAATTTTAGATTAGATATAAGGAAGAAGTTCTTTACAGTGAGGGTGGTGAGGCACTGGAACAGGTTGCCCAAAGAAGCAGTAAATGCTCCATCCCTGGCGGTGTTCAAGGCCAGGTTGGACAGAGCCTTGAGTGACATGGTCTAGTGTGAGGGCTTGGAACTAGATATCTTAAGGCCCCTTCTGACTCTATTCTATCATTCTATGAAAACAGTACCTGAAAGTCAACTGCTGAAGTGAAGGCTGATTGAACAGCTGTCAAGCCCACACACCCATGCTTCTATAAACAGGATTTTATAAAGCAGAATTGAAAGAAGTTCAGCCTACAACAGTACACTGAGACCTTTGAATAGAAAAACCTCATCACTCTTTTGACTTCAAAGTCAATCTTTGAATAGGAAGACTACCAAGCCCTGCAATTTTTGCTGATGTAAGCTGTAGGTTTTGGTCAGAAGTGCTCTTGACCAAGCAATCTTTAATTCTTTGAACATATACATGCCACTACCAAGGATAGAAACTATTTCTTACTGGGGACTCCAACAAGCCTGGGAGCCGTACGTATTACCGTAGCCACCAAGGGCAAGCACACCATGTACTGCACAGGACTCTGTCTACCTCAGAGCCAACGATCTAAGCAGAAGAGTCAAAGCCAGAAACAGGCAGCAGAGGTGGAAGGAGCTGCCATAACCCCAGCTGCCTGTGCAACAAGAGCCGGGTACAGGGCAGGCTACTGATTCCTAGTCTGGCGTGTGCCTCCCAGGCCCCCGCTCCGAAAGCGAGGCCATGCTCAAGACAAGGAAAGTCATGGTCCAACAGGGAGCTGCTGCCTTACCTGTGATCAGTGCAACAAGAAACCAAAGCTGCTGCAGCTCTGTGCCAGCAGATGTGGATAAGGCTCATGTATCCTTAAACTGTTTGGCCCTCTCATTCCTCACAGCACATTATATATGGCAGTAGAAGTCCCATCTCCTTAGCTTCAGAAACTAAGCTTCAAACTTCATCCCTTCACCAGTTAATCCCCTTTATTCCCAGCCACCTTGGGGTTTTTTCTACTTGTGCTACAGCAGTTTCCCAGAGGAACAGCAGGACTCAAGAGGTTTGACGAGAGAATAAGTGTTGTGCAAGGTAATGAATATTCCTCATCTAGGTATTCTACCCCTCTATTCGGACCCTGCTTCTTCTTTTCTTTCTTAATGTACACCATGAAAACAAACAGCAGCATTTATCCCTCCATCTTCATATGGGGTATAAAAACAGTCAAGAAATTCAGTCCTACCAGGAGCTAATCTGGCACTAGCAGAAAGACACAAATCACCAGGCAAGTTTGCCTCAGCCTTACCATCTCTCAGATGGAAATAATAAATTACCTACTTCATAGGATTTTTGTGAGGTTTAAACACAACAGAGTAACTCAGCAGCCTTAGATCTATTTTCACGTTTGACGTGGGAATTTAGGAGAACGCAAAAATAGATTCATAAACATTTTTTGCAGGATGTAGACCTTTATTAATCTGAATACTTTTAAAATCCAAAGGATGGGGGAAGTACTTTGTAACTGCTATGTACTATCATAAGCAAGGAGTTGTAAAGGAAGATGCTAGTCAAAGAGAGAGACTTAATATTGTTCTTTTCCTTCCCAAGCAGTGTCTTAAGCTCAAGATTGCTTAAGACACCAGAATACCATGCGTGGTAGGTTCACCCCAACCTGCAGCTAAGCGCGACACAGCCACTTGCTCACCCGCCCACTGCATCAGTGAGGAGGATGGAACAGGAAGAGGCTGCAAGTAGAGCTTGCGCAAAATAAGGAGACATATATTTACACCTGAAAAGCTTTTTATTTTATTGTAACTTCATGGAGAAAGCTACAGTCATGTGTGAATGGTTCACACCACTTTCCTTGGAGCTTTTATTCCATTTACTTAAAAACACCCCCAAGGAATGTGTCCATAACAATTCCAGGTTTTATTTTATTGCTGCTAGACAGGACTGATTTCAACCCTCACCTTTTCAATTGCCACGAATCCCTGTAATGCAAAACTGCCAAGAAAATGAGAGGAAGTGAAAGCATCTGGTGGTGGAGATTCTGCTTTTAAAGGTGACTATGAAAAGGTTTTGTGAAAAGTATTTGTTTACAAACTGTGACCCACAAGAGACTTGCTGAGCACCTGCACTTCTTGATCTCAATGGGAATTGCAGGTGTTCACCACTTTCTCAGGGTAGACCTTAAAATGCCATCTCCTTATCTCTGCGCTATGTGGTGACTGTCCTCCCTGTAACTGGGCAGTGAAGAACACACTGCAGCATTTCAGAGTTCTTTTAGTGGAGGCTGCATCCTCAAATCACAGCCTGTTTTCATCCTTTTGGCATCTGTGCAGCTCAGCTAGTAGACAACATACTTTCTATTGATCTGAGAAGTAAGAACAGCAAGAATACATGCATGTGGAGAAGCACACACATTGGGCATGTGTTGTCATCTCTGCTTTATGACTTTCACGATACACAGTAGAATGTGCTTGAGTTAAGAGAGCATTTTATGGTGTGCCACCTAACTTGATTGGAAGTTTGGGCAGACAAAAAATGGTGAGGCTGCTTCACAGGCTGCCTGCACTCCTCATGTCTTTTCTGACCCATATGAACAAAGAATCAAACAGAAACAATTCAAATATTAGATGAGGCTCGACAGACGAGAGTAGTATTATACAATAACAGCTCCTCCCCCCACAATTCTACAGCCTAACCTTACAAGCTAGTTCTGAAGCTGAAGTCAAAAGCAGTGAATAAGTAGTCTGAGTGGCTGTATGGACTTCAGTGACAGCACGTATTTATCTCTTGAAGTACTTCTGTTTAGATCCTAGGTTTCAATCTTTTCTTCTGGAAATGTGCACTGTGAAGTTACTTGGTAGCTAAAAAAGCAAGTCAGCAAATCCTTTCCTGAAACTGAAACCCATACAACGATCTCAACGAAGTGTTGAGCTGATTAATTAGCATGGCAGTACAAGAGGGCAAAGCACGAGATGTAAGGCCAGATGCAACAACTGTCATGTCAGCACTATGACACTCTGAAATCTGTTCTATTAAAGTGTGTCAATGCACTCAATTATTTCTGCAATAAATAGAGACTCTCACAGTAATAATTTCCATTTTGGGGAAAAAGAAAAAGCCATAAGAAGGGTCATGTTTGAAGAAAAATGCTGGCTTGCCTGGCTATCTTAAAGTGAATAGTGATTCCAGTTACTGATGCACAGGAATGGTGCATCCTAGGCATCCTAGGTGGAGGCCTAGAGTAATAGGACATGAACTGACATTAGTAATAGCAGCAACCACGAATTCGGTAACAGGTAAGCGCAGCACCTGATGCACAACCCACTTTTGGCTCATGACTGACTCAAGCAAAAAAACCCTGGAGCTCCTTGAAGAAACGTGGGGTCCCACCTCATCCCTCACAGTGACATATAGCAAATGGGGTCTGCAAACACCCTCCAAACCCTTGTCTGCTCCCCCCGTTGTCTATGCCATCCCTTTGGCAGTGGGTGCTGCTGCAGTGGTTGCATGGTCCACATGCACTGCTCCAGCACAGGAGCTCTATGCTCAGCCAAGTTCAGCTAAACAGGGGAGGTGCTGCTGAAATAACACAGACTGGGCACTCCGCAAAAGGGCAGCTGCAGCAACCATTCGGGGCAGGGCAACGCCTTCAGCCACGAATCTCTTTATCCAGCAGATGTGTGCCAAAGCCTGCAGACAGTGGCAAAAGCTTTGCTGAGACTCACTGGTGATCTACTGCGCTCAGACAGGATTGCTTCAACTAGAAAACAGAAGGGGTGTCAGGAATCCACTCGGTGGATAAAGAACTGGCTGGAT